GTAAATGATCAAGAAATGTGAATCTTCATCCATATTATGCGATTCACAATTACACAAAATAAATCTGACAAGTGAAGAGTCCTATTCATATGCAATTTATTGGGTGAATAACAAAAACAACCACTAACAATGACTAAGTAACTACTATTCAGTGTGTCATAATATTAGGCATGATTACTGACGTCATGAATCAGAATTGATACGTTAGCATTGTTATTGATAATTCTGACACGTATTCACGTGCATCGGTTGTTTTTGTCCCATTGATTAGATTATTAATCTCAACAATCAACAGAGACATTTCCATTACCAATAAATGTGCAATCCTCATCAGCATGACAAACGATTTTACGAAGAAGAAGAAGAAGAATTATGATGATGATGATGATGATGAAATTCTGCACGAAACATTTGAGGAAATCAAACTAATTCGTAGTCGATTTCCACTTCAAAATGTAGGCGGAATTATTGGATGATTCAACACACAGTTTATTACCAATACTTTCAACCACATCATTATTGGTTGATTGCCTTCGTCTGCATTACATACAACGTCGTCATACTGATGTACTGTCACTCTGGAAACTGTTTATTTCACTGAATTTACACATCGTTTAAACCTATGGCACATGAATAATCAGTATGAACAAATGGTCGATATTTTGCTGTTGGTTGTCATAAGAAATAATAATGAAATACACGAGTCGAAGCACCCTGCTCCACTATGTTCAAAACACACACGCCATCCACACAACCTCCACATTTTATCACTATCGATAATTACAAGTGGCATTAACCAGACTGTGATATCTTAATCGTGATGTATGACAGCATTTTCCAGACTCTTTACTCGCTTACCAAAACAACCGTGATTCTCCTCAATTTTATTCATCTACGACGTCACTTGTAACTACTTGATTGAAACACGTGTTTCCTCGTGGTGTGTGTAACACACCACATAATTACGACTATTTGAACACGCGACAATCGGTTTGATGAATAAATGTTATGAACATCATGAGATCATCGTGAATCAAGTAGTAAATGCTGCATCTCCGAATCACTGATTATCGGAATGAAGAAAGTGTGTATGAAGAGCGACTTCTAACCACGTGTCGACACAACGTCAAAATCTGTACAGTTCACATATTATGCATTCACATAAACACCCATGCTCACATACATATACGTCCTTGTTCGTAAGTGTTTGAAATGTGTTCATCACGATAGACAGGACAGAATTTCCATAGGACGATTTTAGTACGGACACGTGCTTTACGCATTCACTCGATATACAAATTCTCGAATCAAGTTCTGTAGAATGGATGGATGGATGGATGGATGGATGGATAGATGGATGTGATAATAGCGACATTCTGAACAACAGAATGAGTAAATCTCTAGACTCAACTACTCAACAGATAACGTGTTGACGTTTGAAGTGACAGGTACTGGGTTCGAATCACAGTGTAAAAATCAAAACACTGCAATTCAGAAACATCCATCTGACCACAATTCACTTATTCTACTGTAGTCACAGATTGTTTGAAGTGAGGTACTAGCAGTTGTTTAGTTGATCTGAGAAGACATATTTCATAGGTAGTCAGGATAATGGAGAATGCATGTGTCGGTTATTAAATTTCATTTTAATGTTTGTGTTCTAGTAACAACCAAGGTGTCATCAATCACTGACATGAGTGATGTTAATACATACCATTGAACAATGTGAGTGCCTTGATTTTACACTCATTTATTTTCAAGTGTTTTTTGTCGAATGAAAATTATTCGGTTTTGTTCTTTTATGTAACTGTGTTTGTTGATTCAATTTTTAGCTTTAAATCTTCGATATTATATATTTTGTCTTGGTAATGATTTATAGTCCAACTACAGAGTGCTTCAGTGATTTAAATTTATTTACACTTTGGTTTGTCTATATTGGTAATCGAGAGGACCGTTTTGTTAGTTATATAGCATTAATGTAATTGCTAACTTAATTCTACTCATTTTCATCACACTCAATTAGCTTGATGGCATATTCTTTCAGTTCATGGCACTATTTTTACTTGAAAACATTATCTGAGCTCTTTGTAAGCAATGATGGATAGTGGCTAGCAGTGGAATCCAGGACGCGCGTTTCGTCCTATTTTGGACCCGTCAGCTGGATGCACCTGCATCTCAGAGAGTTGGTGTTCACTCTGGGACTCGAACCCCTGAACCCTGATAGTCACTTGCTTGTGTATAACGCGATAGCGTTTGAAGTGAGTGGTACTGGGTTGGAGTCACAGAGTGAACATCAACTCTGAGGTGCAGGTAAATCTAGCCGATGAGTCCCAAATAGGACGAAACGCGCGTCCTGGATTCCACTGCTAGCCACTAACCATGATTGCTTACAAATAGCTTGTGAAATAAGGTATTATCGAGGCATACGCACAGTATGCAGATATGCCAATAACAGACTGATCAATTTCAGTCTTAAACCTCAATGGGAAGATACATCCAAACAATGTCAAGCGAATTATCTGAGCTCTTTGGTAAGTGATCTTCTGTTGAAACCATAAAAACAATGAAAATTTGATTGTTTTTCTTGGTCACAGTTCGTATCATTCACATTTGGTTTTGGCAAATGATGATTGAATAGTTACTTAGGAATTAATGAAGAATATTTTGGTAAAAGTATAATATGTTGACTACTTTAGACCATTTATCTGCTACTAAAAATACCGTATTTAGTTATTAAAAGATTTATAAAAAAATAATGAAATTACAATTGATCACCATTTTTGGCGAAGATTAAGAATTAACAGTTATTTCATGGTTAAGAATTATGGTTAGGGTTAAGAAGTCTAAGGTTAGGAGAGTTATAAAGTTTAGGTTAGCGTAAATAATACTTTTTGGGCATACAAATACACTCGACTATGCGTTGGATCATATGAAATACGTTCAATTATTAACTAGCTTTCCAGATACTATCTACTTCCTGAGCATTTATGATTTTCAGCTTACATATCGTGTTACATTCATTGTGTGGTTGTACCTCAGATCTGTTTATCAGTTTCATGCATCTTAAAAACTAAATATAGACAATTCTTACTTAGCTTCTAATTAGATACGAGTTATCAGTCTTCGTATTTGTTTTTTGCGTAAAATTCCAAGAGGCGATATCATAAATCTGATTCGTATGTTACGGTAACATAATTTCACCATTATTATTAACTGATTATATGGAATTAATAGAGCTACATCAATCTTTAAATTCGTCAGTGACTTACTTACCTGAAGCCTGTTGTAGCAAATCCATTAAAAAACGTGAATTAAGTGGCTTCAGGATTTGTATATTAGTTACCTACCTTTTGCTTAAAGCTTATGATTGGTTCTTTTAAGGACATTGTTCATCTGATAACACTGACCATTTTCACACACTTGGGTATTATTTTTATAAATATGATATTTATTAATCACGATTTTAACAATATTTGGCGTTCATGAGTAGAGAATATATGATTTGAAACAATTTAGTTCAGCTTATAGATAAATTTTACGACACTAAAGTTACTTTAATAGTTGGCTATACCAAAGTGTACGTAAAAAGAAAAGTTCAGAAAAATATGTCATATGATTCGACACCGATCTCATTTATTACCTATTCGTTATGAAGCAATTTTTAAAGATAAACCATAATACTGTACTCATGAAATTTTCGTTAAGTTGTTTAATAATGTATATTTTAATTATTATTCTTGAAATTCATCTGTATGAAAACGACAACTTCGTTTCACTCAGCCTGAAGGAAATCTGATTCTATCGATTTTAATTTCCTGCACATTTTTCAACTATTAATGAATGATTTATTGATAATTCACAAATTGAGATCATGAATGGATCAATATCAGACCACCATTGAAAATCTGGAAGCAGTGAACGGCCTTTTCCTTCTAGTATGGGTTCGAATCCGATGTGCAGGTTCGTAGATGCACATTGCTCAGGAGTCCCATACTAGGACGAGACGGCCTTCCACTCCTTCCAGATTTCCAATGATTGTCTAACATGGATCCATTCATCAAAACTCAACAATCTTCACAGCCTTATAACTGATCACTCACAAATTGGTTAACTTCAATAAATAAAAAAGAACGAAACACTTTGAACAGTATACTCATTATGTCAGAAAAAATATATAATATTTCATGAATACTCATTATATGTTGACCAGTCTATAAAACTTTCTAACTGTTTACTATTAATAATGTTAGAATTAGAATTACGTTCAAGAATTCTTACTTTACTGATGAAATTTCATAATAAATTTGTGAAGAAAAGAAAGTATTTCAGTTAAAAATGATACAGTCTCAGGTTTTGTGAACCATGATGGTGTGATCAAAAAAATGTAATTTACAAAGTATGGTTTACTATAGGAATCTAACCTTAAAATGAAGATTTAGCATAAAAACTAAACGAAATCAAAATAGATATTAGTAAATTTGTTTAATAATAACTGAACAAAGAAATTATTACACGTGAAGTCTATCTTATTATACTTTTACCATTATTTCACTTCATTAATGAAATTCCAAAATAAATTTCTAAAAAAACAAAAAAAAACAAAACTGTACAGTAAGAGGTGTAGTTGTGTTTAAAAGTGTTCATTCACATAGTTAACAACAATGACTTTGATACTAGTACAATAATTATAACTGTATGTTTATTTTATTCATTAGTATATATGCTCACAAACAAATTCACAAAACACATAAGTGTACATCAAAAAAAAAATTAAAACATAATAAAAACCCTATATAAGTAGTGTAACATCATTTGATTATAATAAAATATAGAACGCAATTACTGAATAAAACTATTCAGGTAAAAAAAAGGTAACGACAAAGTTTATAAATGTATACATTTATATCTCAATAATTCAATTCATAGGCCTTGAGAACATCGAGCTAAAAAGTCAATTGTCATTTATTTAAAGAAAAAAAAGCGGAAAGCCAAAAACAGTCATGGGAGAAAGCCGAAACACAAAAATTTTCATTTCAGTCAGTTTAGCAATAGCGATATGCTTTACAGTGGTAGCAATTGCTGAAGATAAAACCCTTACAGGTGAGTGTTATATTATTATGAAGTGTTTTATTTTTAATTTCAATGAATTAAATTGTACTGAGAAAAGGGTAACATACTAGTAGTTGTATTGTTTTCATTTAAAGTCTTTTTTTAAAACTAGGCTAGGTTTTAAAATTTCCACAGTTAGATTCACAGACCAAATCTCTAATGAAAACCTGGGAGCACTAAAACACAGTTTCGTCTTAATCTGTAACATATCGACAGTGCTTATCCACAGCTACTCACTCGGGAATCGAACCCAGGACGTTCATTCTCCAGTAAAACATAATGAATGGTTTTCTGCAAAGTTGAATAAATAAGAAATATCGAGATAATTCTCTGAGTAAGAGCTTCATATTGAGTTTCTGTAACACTATTTTCTTTTGTATGTTAGGATTATATAATTTAGAATCTCATTAACCGAATAATTATTCAAATCACTGGTTTAACTAAAGCATCGTACTGATTGTTTAGTTAATGCGATACAAGTTAAAAGTAATTGCTTTAATAGTAATTAATATGTATTCGAACAACATACTGTAAAAAGAGACTACCATTAAAGTGCGTGAACCTCGTTAACCAGAATATATTCCATTTGTTATGAATTGAACTAATTTAGAAGCTCACTTTCATCATTACATGATGAGATGCATTTTAAAACTTGAATCTAATTCAAAATTAAAACGTTTATTGTTATGCATAAACATCAATGCAATATTTTAGGCGGTTACATGATTAGTGATTTATTGAAATATTTCATAGTATATGCTAAAATAAGAGAATTCTGTTTTGATGTCATATTTGTTTTAATAAACGGTGTAGTGCAGAAATAAAACGAATATCAGGAATAAGGAAACATAAGTATCCTATAGTATTACTTTGTTCTCAATATTTCTAATTTGTAAAATGAAAAGGATCATCTTATAGTGTTTCACGGCTAAACAAAAATGTGTTAGTTTAACCACCATTTCGATAGATCAAATTTGAAACTGAATACCTGCAATATTGTGCATAGTAACTTATTAATAAGTTGTCAGGTTTATTGATATTGTTATGTGAAATCATGTTTGTCACCACATTGACACATTTCCTATTTCATAACAAGTTTGTTAGCTCATAGTAAACAGGAATTAGTTTCAAACGATATCAGGTTCAAAGTTCACAATATCTTTTCATCATGAATGAAGTTTCAATCTCTTCATAATACTTTAAATAGTTGTAAGTTTTGACAGTATTCGGTGTTAATTATCACCATTTAATAATACAATAACATAATAGCGAATCATAGCAACAATAATTTTCCGCTAGTCAAATATTAATTGCTGAAATTAATGAAAAGGTGAATTAGTCATTAACAGAATTCCTATGCAAGACAAACATCTTTACAATAAACAGATTTACAAAATATTAAGATAAAATAAATTCTCATTTGTTTGATCTCGATTTCTGATGTGTCGGAATTGGAAACAACGTGTAAATTCTATAAAATAAATATTTTATAGAAAAGCGATGCATTTATATGGTGACATATGTTGTAAGACACCTTAAAATAACCATAATAATGAACGTGAGACTAATGAAAATAAGTTAAGTTGAGTCATAAATTATTGTGCTAAGTTTTTTAAAAAGGATATTTGATTATAATTTATTTTGATGGTTTGTGACAAATTTAACAATTCTATTAGCACAACACAAGATTTGACGACAATTTCACTAATTTATTAATCAGAAAACGAAACATGATGATCAATATGTGTAAACTCGAGTCACTCATATTGTTCAATGGTATGTATTAACATCACTCATGTCAGTGATTGATAACACCTTGGTTGTTACTAGAACACAAACATTAAAATGAAATTTAATAACCGACACATGCATTCTCCATTATCCTGACTACCTATGAAATGTGTCTTCTCAGATCAACTAAACAACTGCTAGTACCTCACTTCAAACAATCTGTGACTACAGTAGAATAAGTGAATTGTGGTCAGATGGATGTTTCTGAATTGCAGTGTTTTGATTTTCACACTGTGATTCGAACCCAGTACCTGTCACTTCAAACGTCAACACGTTATCTGTTGAGTAGTTGAGTCTAGAGATTTACTCATTCTGTTGTTCAGAATGTCGCTATTATCACATCCATCTATTCATCTATCCATCCATCCATCCATCCATCCATCCATCCATTCTACAGAACTTGATTCGAGAATATGTATATCGAGTGAATGCGTAAAGCACGTGTCCGTACTAAAATCGTCCTATGGAAATTCTGTCCTGTCTATCGTGATGAACACATTTCAAACACTTACGAACAAGGACGTATATGTATGTGAGCATGGGTGTTTATGTGAATGCATAATATGTGAGCTGTACAGATTTTGACGTTGTGTCGACACGTGGTTAGAAGTCGCTCTTCATACACACTTTCTTCATTCCGATAATCAGTGATTCGGAGATGCAGCATTTACTACTTGATTCACGATGATCTCATGATGTTCATAACATTTATTCATCAAACCGATTGTCGCGTGTTCAAATAGTCGTAATTATGTGGTGTGTTACACACACCACGAGGAAACACGTGCTTCAATCAAGTAGTTACAAGTGACGTCGTAGATGAATAAAATTGAGGAGAATCACGGTTGTTTTGGTAAGCGAGTAAAGAGTCTGGAAAATGCTGTCATACATCACGATTAAGATATCACAGTCTGGTTAATGCCACTTGTAATTATCGATAGTGATAAAATGTGGAGGTTGTGTGGATGGCGTGTGTGCTTTGAACATAGTGGAGCAGGGTGCTTCGACTCGTGTATTTCATTATTATTTCTTATGACAACCAACAGCAAAATATCGACCATTTGTTCATACTGATTATTCATGTGCCATAGGTTTAAACGATGTGTAAATTCAGTGAAATAAACAGTTTCCAGAGTGACAGTACATCAGTATGACGACGTTGTATGTAATGCAGACGAAGGCAATCAACCAATAATGATGTGGTTGAAAGTATTGGTAATAAACTGTGTGTTGAATCATCCAATAATTCCGCCTACATTTTGAAGTGGAAATCGACTACGAATTAGTTTGATTTCCTCAAATGTTTCGTGCAGAATTTCATCATCATCATCATCATCATCATCATGATTCTTCTTCTTCTTCTTCGTAAAATCGTTTGTCATGCTGATGAGGATTGCACATTTATTGGTAATGGAAATGTCTCTGTTGATTGTTGAGATTAATAATCTAATCAATGGGACAAAAACAACCGATGCACGTGAATACGTGTCAGAATTATCAATAACAATGCTAACGTATCAATTCTGATTCATGACGTCAGTAATCATGCCTAATATTATGACACACTGAATAGTAGTTACTTAGTCATTGTTAGTGGTTGTTTTTGTTATTCACCCAATAAATTGCATATGAATAGGACTCTTCACTTGTCAGATTTATTTTGTGTAATTGTGAATCGCATAATATGGATGAAGATTCACATTTCTTGATCATTTACAACTGCATGCCAAAACTGAATAATGACTTTGTGTATGTGCGTGCGTGTGTGTCTGATATTATTGAATTTGTGTCTATTTTCACACAGAAATGACGTCATTGTTGTATGCGATTGCATTTATTCAGAGGATAATTATAGTTTAATGTAAGATGATGTTAATTGTAATTCTTACATTTGAGTACATGAAGTGAAATCTCTCATAGATTACACCACACATTAATCTCAATTAGACACTCAGTGAGAACGAAAACGCCTTGGATGGATGTTTTTGTTGGTGTATGAAACTGTTCAGCAGTAACTACCCACAAACTCACAACGATCGATCTCATGGTGTTGAAACCTGTTTACGAATACTTGACATTTAGACTACTGATATGTTGCACTGCCACCTTCCACCAAACACGTTTTCCCAAAGATTTCAACAGTCACGTTTTCAAAGACTTCCTCTACAGTATCTATTCTACATGTGACGATAGTCGGAATAATTTTCCTTTGGAAATGTTGTGCATCTTTCAGGATGTAGTTCTCTCTCCACTTCCTATCGACAAACCTGGAATGACAGTCATCTCTCATAATCACACTGCACAAGTGAACTGCTTCTTCCTTCATCATATCAGTAGTACACATTATTCACATCTAATATACAGACAGGGTAATTAAACTTCCTCTTTCTCATCAACAAAACTCAACTTTGGAACTTGTATGATAACCATCACAATCTGGTAACAAACATGTTTAGATGGAACCAGCTGTCATTCCTTATAGTAGAACATCAAGGAAACGAAATTCCAATCTCTCCTCTGACTTCGGTGTGTACAAACGTGACCCGAAACATCTAGTGAGCAGCAACTAGAATGTCACTGAGGTTGGTGATTTCGGCACAGATAACGATATGATGAATTGTGGTGATGTGTAATCTGGTACTCATGATTATGAAAAATATATCATGATTGATGAATGCTTTATCACCGATTCACCTATTTTATGTTGACTGCATTCACCTCCAGCTGAAATTAAAACATCAATTGTTCTCGGATTGTCAGCGTGCCATTTCAAGCGACATGTACTTAATTATAGTGAAGGGGTTTATTTGATGATACGTTTTTGCTGTGTTCAGAACATTCACACACTTCCATTTGTCCAGTGGAATTTCTGACTGATATGTGTCATTCACTGAATAAAAGCAGGATCGTGCACGAATTTCTAAAATAATTTCAAGATTGACATGATTTGTGTTATTCATCTAACGGAATCCATATATGACACCATATTTTATAATTAGCAGCAAACATGCTGATCATATCAGCACATACTGACCTCATTTTTAAATCATTTCTCATTGTTTTGTGAATAGTGAAAAGAATATTCACCGTACAAAAGAGTGGTGATTGAATGCTAAACTAGATAATGAAAATAACATGTGATTGGCAGTGTTTAATTGAATTTCTGGTATGGAAGTAGGGATTTAGTGGAATGTAAAAGAACAACCTAATGAGAAGTTGGTTTTAGAAACCATCAATAAATAATAGTCAGTCATCATATTTGTTATTACTTAGTGATCAATCAATGTATGCGTACAGTGCACAGTGTATCAATAATGTTCATTTTGACAATCATTAAAGTGAACTGTTTTCAAGGTTAAATTCCAGTGGATTTAAACTACTGAAGTCACTCATCAAGTTAATGAATAAACTGCTGAGAATTTAACAAAGAAAATTTTCTTTCCAACGAAGCTGGTTACTCAATTTTTACGATCGTATTTATAAATGTTTGGTAAACTTATAAGTGTTAAGAAGAGTAGAAGGAATTTACATTATTTAGTTTTCTATATCGCAAGTATCCAATGCAGGTTGCATATTTCTAACCGACAACCTATTTTCATTGTCCTATTCTCCTCATATCTCTACGCCGATCTTCAACGCTTAATGAATACTTGAGATCTCAGAACACTTCACAATGTAACCACTTTCTATCCTTCTGTACACACATATATTTTTAAAATCACAATGTATGAGTTTGTATGGCCTAAATAAATGATTTAGTTGAGAAGAATACTTTCTTCCCAAATTTCCTTTCTTCTGTTGGGTTTATTCGAATATATGTTAGTTTGAAATACACTAGTTATCTTTTATTGCCTAATTCCACAATATACGTACTATTTATTCATGTTGATGTTCAGTTTGTTTTTTTATTGAATTAATTAATCAGTAAAACGTTTCTTCTAATTCCTCGTCAGTGTATTGTTACCACGTTTTCCTAGTACACTTGGAAATGCTCATTTTTTTCGTTTACTGTTATAAGCCGAATATAAATCAAGTTCGTTGAAAGCATTTCAAGCATTCTACTTCCTCGCTCTCATCGCTTTCATTGTGGCGCTCGTACTATATGCAGTGACTATTTTCACAGAAACTCGAAAAATCTTGAGCATTGGATTTTTTGTCGCGATTGTAGTAGGATGTAAGTAATTTTTACAGTTATTGTTATAACAGTCTACGATGCTATTGTAGCGATGACATGTCTTTCGAGACAATTGTGTTGTTTGTGGATTGATAATAAGTTTTCATTATTGCATTTACTTTGTTTCTCTAATGACCGACTCTACTCATTAGACAGAAAAAACATATGAGTGTTGTATTTTAATGACATCGGTGAATTAATAATGACTAAATATTTCTGACAGGTTCTTTTAAAATAATACAACTGTACATTTGTAGTAAGTGAAAAATTTTACAGTATGATTATACAGACTAGTTGATCGTTGCTAGTCCTATGACGAACAGAAAAGTAAATGAAGAACGTAACTTTCCCACCAACTGATCAAACAAATCCATTTATTTCCATCAGAAATGGATGGTGACAAGCAGTGAAATCCAGGATGCACGTTTCGACAGCTGGATGTTCCAGCAGCCGAATTCATGTCCACTCCTAAACTCGAACCAAGTGCCTTCCAGCTCAATCACGATCACGTTAGCCATTGAGCTGCTGAGTTCTGGATTCCACTGCTAACCACCACCCATCTCTTCTTAAACTGCTTGTGACTTACTGTTAGTATCAAGACAATGCACACAGAATGCACGTACTCTAAAAGAGACTGATCAGTTGTAGTCCTAAACATCGATGACATCCAAACAACCAATATATATATATATATATATATATATATATATATATATATATATATATATATATATATATATATATATATATATATATATATATATATATATATATATGCGTTAAAATTGTTATTCGAAATTCAGAAACAGACCATATTGTTAGACGGAGTTCTGGAATTTCCACATTTGAAACTATCATTCTTCAATATTATAGATTTAAATGACCATACCTATGTAGTTGTCGCTAGTTATACTAAGCATTTATAAAAATTGTCTACTACGCCATCAGAATCAAATGAACCTTTATCACAGGCATTGCTTCTTCACATGGCGAAATTACACCCTTTCAGATAACAAATAACCCACTTCATCGCCGCTGTATCATTTTTATACACGGCTGCATAATTTCAAGCGAAGCCAGAACACTCACTGACATCCAGTATAGAATAGCAGAGACAAATCAACCGAATTCTTCAGATTATCGACGAACTCAATGTCACTTTCAAGATTGATAATATTCACATTGTTTGTAGAGTACAAGAAAATTAGAGTATAAATAATGTATTATGAAGACTTATAACTAACACTTTACAAAAGATAACGATGAATCCACTAGTCTTTTGAAATACTAAGAGTTCCTCTCCATATCTGATACTATCATTCATAATCATTTAGATATTTTCTGCAAAGTATCACTCAAGAAAAGTAGCTCGCCTGTTATAGTTAGTACTGATTAATGAGGATTGTAAACTAGTTAACTACTTAACGATAAATTGTTGCAATATTCTGTTTTTTGTTCAGGTATATGCTGTATTATCAGCGTGATTATGTTTTATCAAAACTATTCCAGCTCTCACATGAGTGTTCGGCCACATCCCAGCTCATGGTTACTCGGCGTTATTTTGGCTTCGTTTCAGCTTGTTGTATTCGTATTCATGTATATTTTCTACTGAGAAGTGACTGGTTTTCATATTTACAAATCATGAATGTTATGAAGATGGAACATTATTTACCTAGTATTAAACTTAATTAAATGAACAAGTTGATAAAACTCCAGGTTTTTCACATAATTTTATTTTGATAAATCATGAACTTCACGAATGAAGTAAACAAAAATATTTCATGAATGTTTTTGAAGTAAATCGTTTTATTAATCTCAAGTTTTACTTAGATTAAATTTGTGAGATCAGTTGTAACAGACTGAGTTAACTAAAATATGACGTTGGGCAATCAATCATTCACTAATAATAACTCAACAAAAGGTGAATATCGAGTCAAACATATAAACCTCTATAGAATATCCGTAACAGGAATAATTCACAAGGAACAATCGAAGAATAAGTGTCCCATAAGAGATCAGTTTATCTTACTGCAATGTGTTCATGTGTGTATCATAAGAATGTTATTTAACGGATTTGGTATCATGAGAATACTGTAGTTCTCTTCGAAAGATGGAAGTAGTTTTTTCATAAATGATAAATCACTAACGGAAAATTTTGTTCTAAAAGAATGAAAGATATTAAGAATTCTTATAAATTAGAAGTGTTCCTGTGTTCTTAATCAGTATTCACTGAACAGCGATAAACACATTTATCCACTACAGTTCATGCTGTTTAAGTCTTCCACGAAGATACCAAATTCAAATTCATTTCCATAACACTATATTCGACGATCCATTTTGTGGCGTACTAGTTAAATTAAGGTTAAATTGAACTATGGATGAATGAATTCCAAGTGAAATACGTACTTGATTCACATACTGTTACTTAGTAGTAACAGCTTGAGCACTAAAATCCTAGTAGAATATTGGACGTCATTAGTAAATCAGTTTCTGTATATAAATTTGTCCTAATCTCACCGATGTCTAGGTTTCGCAACATTAACTCACAGAGGATGAGATTCGTGACTGACATCAAACTACATGGGGGATAATAGTCGAAAAAATATATTCAGATAGAAACACATATTGGTAAGTTATCGTCTGAGGATGCTGTGTCAAATTGTGTTCAGAATAGATATTCATAAAACGAATGCCTTTGAATTCAGTACAGAAGTGCTCAAGAGGTGATGGTTACCGAGTTTCAATATTATGACTTCAGTTTTATTCTCTCTGAAGATCTCACAATCGTATTTAAGTAAAATGATAGCTTCGCTCTATCAAATTGTGTTGAGGAGATTCGTAATAATTAAACTGAAAATAATAGTGTTCAGGAATCTATGAACGGATAGTATCACAGCAATTAGGCTTCGAGTTATTTTCAGACATCAAGGAGGAAAAATCAGTTGAAAACCTGAGACTTTTACAAATATGGTTGTCTCTCCTTACCGTTCGAGAATCGTTATAATATAACAGATTAATAATGTTGCTACTAATTTGGTGAATGCATGTGTTTAACAATCACGTATTAATTTATCATTTCATCTGTATATTCAGCTGAACCATTTCGGTGAGGTTGGTGTGAGACATGAAATAGATGAGTAGATTACAAGTATCTGGTCATGAATACCTTCGGTACGTCGTTTGACTGTTGTCAGACAAGTGAATGTGTAGTGTTAAGACTAGAAGTAGAATACCAAATAGGAGAGAAGTCACGTGTGGAGATTATGGTGTGTGAGAATCATGTACTTTACGCTTAGCTATGGTCTGCCTCAATGCACCATGTTCACTGCAAGAAGAGGAAGGTGGGGAAAATGTATGGTATCCAGGCTAAGACCAAGTGCCAGTCTAAATCATCTGACCATTAGGATGCAGAATATGGGTGATGGTAGGCTTTCTGGTCAGTGTAATAATGTGTCGATAACTATGACCATTCAAATTATGTTGAGATGTGTTACAATACAACGGTATATTCAGAAAGAGATTTTGCGGAATTGATTACAAATTAGTAATGCATATTAATGTTCCAAAACGAGTAGTTTTGCGATGAAATAGATAAGTTGATGTTAACTAAAAGCGGAAGGTCATGGTTGTATTGTTTGAATGTTGTGAAAAGTTGGTATATCAGTGGCATCAAAAGGTTTAGTAGAGCCATGGCTTAGTTTCTAATTGACAGACAACTTGAAACACTTAAAGATGATGAAAAAGCATAGAAATTCAAGGCTGATTAAGTTTTTCTAAACCATAGCTACTAAACACTGAAAATTTAAATTACATATTGGAAACAAAGTAGTTATCAGTTGCTTTTTATTCTGATAATAATGATTTTCACCGTACTTGTGACTTTTCTCCA